AGAGAGAGAGACAGAGACAGAGACAGAGACAGAGACAGAGACAGAGAAAGAGAGAGAGACAGAGACAGAGACAGAGACAGAGACAGAGACAGAGAAAGAGAGAGAGACAGAGACAGAGACAGAGACAGAGACAGAGACAGAGACAGAGACAGAGACTGAGGCAGAGACAGAGACAGAGACAGAGACAGAGACAGAGACAGGGACAGAAAGCAGTGATAAAGAAAAAAGAAAGGGGACAGAAAATATCAAATAATGAGAAAGATTATGGAGTAAGAGAGAGGGATAGGGCCAAAGAGGGCAAAGCGAGATAGAGAGAAAGAAGTACAACGAAAGAGTGACAGAGAAAAAGCAAACTAGACGGAGACAGAGACAGAGACAGAGACACGAGGCAGAGGGAGATTAACTTTGAACAGGACCAGGGGCGATGGTGCGAGTTATGATGTATTGTACAACGGAGACTACCTGTATAGAAAAGTCGCAATCAGAAGGGGAGGGCCCGTGTGCAAGTTGCGCACGTTAAAGATCCCTCGGTGGTCTAAAATCGATAAGAGCAGGCTTCGGCCGCCACCCGGGCAAAAATTCAAAATTTCCTACCAACTGAAAATATTAGGTGTGTCCCGCGCGCTCATATGACCTTATGTGTGTGTGTGTGTGTGTGTGTGTGTGTTTGCCAACCTGGACGATATCGCGTACTCCTACTGGTAGACGATGTGATCGTTTGGCGGGCGGGCTGGGAGGTTTACCCAGGTGGTGACAGGTGTTATTTAAAGCTCCGCTTGGAAATTAATTTAGATGGGCGGTATGAAAAATGTATCCTCTCAATATTGGTGAAAGTGGGCATTTGCTATAAAATGTTCTCATTCACTGCTGTAAATTGTTGTTTTATCAATTTAGGTAATTTATACAACAAAAATATAGATGTACAAAAATATCCGGAAGTTTGTAGTAAGAACGCATTTATCTGATTTCTGAAGGAAAATTTACAACAAAATTATGTTGACTCAACAGGACGGCTCTTTTATGAATAGATTAGATCTTGATCTAAAGTAAGCACAGTAACTTGTTCCTGTAATATACCAAGGCGCTGAACCGACAAGTTTCAAGAGACGAACCATTTTGTTTGCAGATTTTCCTGAGTTGGGGAAGAATTTTGTTGTGAACACTTAATTTCTTTCCCCGTGACAAGCCTGTGCTGATTGTAATTCGGTTTCAGCGTACCCAAACAAGATTATGTGAATGTGTTTGTGCGTGTTTGTGTGTGTGTGTGTGTGTGTGTGTGTGT